GTAAAATGTAAAATGTAGCCATTTTCAAATGGGAGTTTAGTGAAAATGAATAGGAACCTGCCAAAAATAAAAGCATTTTTTTCAAAACTTGATTTAAGAAAGCTGATAAGATGACAATTATTCAAACAGTCATAACTTTGCTTCCAGACACCCAATTGAGTTCATTTAACTGTCATTTTAAAGTAAATGATATGTTCTATGCCATTATACAAAAACACATTTTTGCCTGAGGACGAGTTTACAGCCTGTTTGTGAGCTTGGGTCACAAATTTTCTCATTAGTGAAATATTATTTATGCAAATGAGCAATTAGCATAATCACACACATACCAAAAATAATCAACTGTCTTCTTATTACCATCTTGCATTCCATAAAGTTTGAAACCAATCAGACTTACCCAACTTTATTTATAGTGTAAATTTCTTGATCATTGAAATAGTAATTATGCAAATAAGCAATCAGCATATTCATACATACGAAAAACAAAAGACTGTCGCTTTATCGCCATATTGCATTGAGCATACTTTGAAACTATTAAGACTTACCAAACTTTAGTTGTCTTGAAATTACCTGATAAGTTAAATATCAATTACGCAAATGAGCAATTAGCGTATCCACACATGTACCAAAAACAATAGCCTCTGTCTTTTTATTACCATCTTGCATTCTACCAAGTTTAAAACCAATCGGATTTTATCAAACTTTAGTTATCGTGGTAACAAACTATTTACCCAACAACATCGATGGCGACAACGACGACAGCATGAAAAAGAACATGGGTAAAAAAAATAGCTTCCCCAGAGCTTCGCTTCATTAGGGAGGCTAATTAGTAAATAATTAATTAATAATTTAAACTTTAAAAAATTGTTGCATACATGTAGTATGTTATAAAATTCAAACAGTAGCTGTAAGGAATTCTGTGTGTACAACAGCACATGCACTCTATAGGAATTGTCTCGGAATGTAATTAACAGGGTAGGCACTATAATGCAGCTACCATGGGTCTCCAAGGGCCTAATCGTGATATTTCATGTTCCAACAAAGATAAACATAAAATCTACATTTCTCAATATACAGTGATTGAGTCCAGGGAAGATTTTGACAGCATAGATTATTCTGATACACAATCTCAAATGCATATTATTTCCGCACACTTAAATTGTAGCTGACATTGTACCGGTAGATCCTCCCCTGACTCAAGCACAGGTCAGTCAAGTGGGATAGAAAGATTACTTACTTTTCTCAATCTCAGTGTCAGTATCTTGATAAATACAGATAAATTTTAGGGCTGAATAATCAGTACTTTCCTGTTTTTAAGGGTTTTAATTTATCTGTGGTACTAGGCACTAACTAAAAGTGGCTTTTCTAAGTCTGTATGGACTAATGTGTCAGCTTTGAACTTGTTAGTGTTCTGGGCCCGAGAGTTGAAACATGATGGTTTGTCAACTTAAAAACTAAGAGATTAAGTTCTGTACATTTAAAGAGGCACTATTTTTAAATTGTAATAATGGCATGTACTCTGAATTCGATCAGTGAGTAGATATATAGAATGTATGTAAATAAATTAATTTTAACAATCTTTATTGTTTTTAATTGTTTTAATTCATATAAAAAATAATGAAATTTGAAAATTACATTATTTATATTTTTGCACTACACACTTGCATTGCCAGAAAATTCTATACCTCAGGAGATGGACCTTCTATCCGCACAAAAGTCCTTCCCTTGACCCCTCAATTTTTAATTCTTGAATTCGCTGTGAATTACACACCAAAAGTTATTTTCATGTGATTTACTATTATTTATTGTGCATTATGCAATACCTTGGGAAAAAACGTGTCCTAATGGGAAAATCCAAGGGTGTATACCACTTGGCCTCATTTACTGATAGTAGAGTATCCGAACGGTAATCGGAAGGTCTTGGGTTCGAATCCCGATGGCGACATACGCTTTTCTCAAATATTTATTATCATCTTTAATATTCACCAGTGGAGGTGTATCTCCATACCAAAAGATACTTTCATTTGGTTAAAAAGACACACAATTTTAAAATAAAAATTGTATTGCACCTAAAATAATTTTCACATTCATTCAAGTTTTTCTTGATTTATTTCAGATAAACTAATTGAAAGACAACAGGAAATATTTCAGTTGAATGAGCCATCAGAGTCATTGATTATTCTCCACATTATCTGTTTGTTAACCAAATTTAATTTATTACTACATCTTCTGCACCACAAGTGTCTAAATAATTAAAATTTACAATTAACATAAATAATAACAAATTTGCAATTTACACATTGAATACTCTTTCTAACATATTTAATCTTCCTCTTTTTAAATTTCCTTATACTCAAGGTGGGCTAATAGCCAAGGATCTATGGTTATAACTAAATAATTATTTGTGGTTTAGCAATTGTATTTTCTTGATCTATTGACCCTGACTGCCAATAAGCTGCATTTATCTTTTTATTGTTATTATTGTTTCAGAGACAAAGGTTTTAAGTAGGTCAATATCTCATAGATTTACGTATTGTGAAGGATAATAAATAGTTTGACTTTTTTTAGTGTTCATAGACAATACCTTCTTTTATCTGTTTATTGTCTCTTTGGTACCTTCATAAACACCCAATCTTTCATTAAGCTGATCAGTAATGAACTAAAGTGGGTTACTTCCTGGTTTTATTTCCCATCATAAAGTTCAATTTCTTCAAGCTATTAACCTAAACAATGTATGATACTTCTAGTGGGTTTAAATTGGGATTAGCAAAAGAGGAATAAAATCATATGACACCGCACTAATTGACGTTTAATATAATATATAGGCGCATTTTGTATTCCACAATCTTAATCTTATTCTTTAGAGGATTAATATTGTGTTTTAGGCAAATTTATATATTACTTAATATCTATACCACTTTATTCAATATGTATCTACTTAATAATACTTTACTTATATGTTTTCTAATAATACAAAGCAGCAAAAATATTTTACAGTATTATGGAAAGCTACGTACAAAACTACCAAGAATTTCAGTACATTTGGTGAAGCATCTGCTGCTCATAGAGATGACTGAGGTATGGCATCGTCGGCTGATGTGCCGGTTGTGGGGGTATTCCGGTGGGAAGAAAGGGTGGATCAGTTTTGGATTTTTGCAGGTGGGAATGGACACTAGGAAAAGATCAAAATTCTTGGTTGTATTTAACAGTTTTATGAGGCTTTTGTTTGAATTCTTTTTTTAATGTAATCTTATGATTTCTCTCTCTGCATTTGCCTGTGTTTGAGTAATCTTATGATATATGCTGAAGTGTTTGTTTGCCTTTGTGAATTAATATATATGTATCATTATGAAATGAATAAAAAACATATGGAAAAATAATATACAAGATGTATGTTTAAAAACAAGCATTTTTAAATTTTTCCTTATTATTTTCTAATAGCGAGTAACTAAATAAAGTACCAAACAAACTGAATGTAGGACTTGAGACTATGCAATGTGTTGAATACCGGTAATCCATGCTAGGCTCATGGAAAGGTACCCTAATTTAGACTTGAAAACATTCTATTTTGGGGTAAATTGAACACAAGACCTAGCATTGTTCGGGTAGCTCCTTGATCTCATTTGGTTTCATTAATTTCAGCACGCCCGATAATTTATGAGATAAAAACATACAAAAGCAAAACAAAACATTGTTCCAAATGTCAAAGTTTATCAAAGACTACAAAAAATGTTATATATCTTTTTGCAAGGTATTTTAACATTATGTGCACGATGACAGGTACACATTTTTCCACCACAACGGTAATGCTGTAATTTTGTAGTTTTTAATCTTAACATTGATAACAAAAAAGTTTTGGAAACCAGTAACTTTGTTAAGTGAGAGGCTCACTGATTAAGTATGGGGAAATTAGTTGGCAAAATATGGTAATTTTTAACTAATTGACAGTAATTAATTGCACAACAAATTTCTAATTAGGAAAGGGAAGGGGTCCTTCAAAGCCCATAAGCCACTGCTAAAAGTAAAGAGTGTTTGCATTGAACCCTAAAATATATCAGTCTTCTTTACAGCAAGATTTGACCTGTGCTCTAATGCTTATTAATCTACAAAATGACATGCATGTTTGCTACTTGACAGAAATAATTGGACATGTTTAGAAACAATGCATTTATCATGGGAGTGTGGTTTAATTATGTTTCCACTAATCACTATGGTAACTGCCACTGTAAATTGTCATATATTTTATTGTCAACACTTGGATTGTTTCAAACTTTCTGTACATATAGCATTGTTATTTAGGGTGTACTGTAAAAATTGCCCCAGAAAAAATTGCTGTTGTTATTGAAAAGGGTGTGTAATGAAAAGTTATGTGCATTGGGTGTAATCTAATGAAGGACTGGGATAAACAATTCACATTTTCTTATTTATTTATTGCACATCCAACAGTGTATATACCAATTACAGAATGAAAATATATAATATATAAACTTACACAAAACAAAGCCTAAATGCATATTTAAAAATCTATAATATTAAAATAACAGGGCTGGAAAATAAACTGTTGGGCTGTATAGAGTACAAAGGCATTTTATCAATATTTTCATGGTCGGCGGTACAAACATTTTTTTTCCCAGGCCTGTATATTAATCTACAGTATTTATATGTAATTGCATTAAAATATATGATTAGAATTGTTATAAATGCTAATAATTCTTTCACTGTAATAGTAAGTAATTAGGCACAAAGATAAATGTAAATCTAGATTAAAATCCCAAAGTAGTTCTATAATTGTTTACACAAAAGTTTGTCTTTTGTCATTAAATATATTAACCAATATATTTACTTATTATGAACTGAAATTAGAAAGTTTTTATATCTGAGACAAGTAATCTGGGACGGGTTGACTACGTTGTGAGGCATGTGAGTATACAAAAATATATTCATAATATTTGAATAGTTTTTCCTTTACAGCATACAGTAAATTACAAGTATGTAAATACCTTGTCTCTTCTATTTCCTCCTGTCTTTCAAGGTTGATCAGTTCCAGTTGCTTTTTAACAAACGCTTCCACTGCCATATCTGTAAGTGGAAAAGTAATGAATTTATTTAATTAAATTGGAATATCCTGTTCCTCCAATACCTAATGATTTACATGAAACAAAATGTTACACAGTATGAATGCAAAATGTTATGTAGACTTCCTTGTAGATTTCTAGCAAAATCGCAGTCGTCTTTACAGTCTAGGGTCTGCGTATTCAAACCTTGCTAAAAGTTGGCACAATTGATATACGCAGTGAAAAAGTGCACAAGGCAACAACAAAAGATAAACTCTGAAATAAATCAAGGAGGAAAGAAAAGTCTCCATGCATAAATTCAAGCAAAGACCCATGCTAAATATCTCAGGAATGTTTACATACAATCCTCTATGATGTCTAATGTTATTCTTAAATACATGGTACACAAGCTAAGAAAGTTTTTATAACTGTACGATTAGACTGATTGCCGAGTTGATTTGTGGCCGAGTTGACTTGTGGCCGAGTTGACTCATGGCCGAGTTGACTTGTGGCCGAGTTGACTGTGGCCGAGTTGACTTGTGGCCGAGTTGACCTGCACCCGGGCAAAAACATCAATCGTAAAATATTTTTGTAAATTGCATACACTGAGGCCCCTATTTGCAGCTTCCAGTATTCAGTATGATCGGTTATCAACACATCATGAATACCAAAATCTGAAAATGCTGCGCTAAAGCTGGCTGTTATTTTTAGTTCTATGCTTTTTATTGCCTTTAGTTACAATTGTTTATCTGTTACAGAGTATTGTTAATCCACATAAGCAATTTCAACATCCAATTTCCATTGGCTTTTTCTTCTATTGTTTCAATTTGAGACCCTCCCTGCATTGTTTTTAGGTATATAGTTTTTATATCAAGATTTGCATTAAATAACTCTACTGATGAAATCCTCTAGATCAATAAACCTGGAGTATTTCAAGTTAGACTATATTATAATATAATCATAATTTCAACATTTACATTGTGATTTATATTTATTTTATGCCTAATTTTTGCACATTAGATTTATCCCCAACGCAGGCTGTATTAGCCTGAACCTAATAGTCTCGGCCCTAGCTAGGTCTTCATTATTAGAGAGAGGATCGTACTCAATTTAGGCCTAGGCCCTATACCAAAGACAGTGAGAGCCGCTCAGTCTTAGCTGCCTGCTGAACTGCTGCCTTAATACAAGGCTACTACACCGCTAGCTAGGCCTAGCCTCCCTAGGCTAGGCCTACATACATGGCATGGTCCTAGCTAGCCCTAGTCAGCCTAGGCTGCGTACGTAGGCTACAAAGCCTTTGTCTACCCGGATCTCTCTAGCTAGGCCCCTAGGCTAGGCCTAGTAGTAGTAGGCCTAGGCCTAGTCCTAGTGGTGGTAGGCTAGGCCCCTACCTAGTCATAGAGAGTAGGCCTAGGGCATAGGCAACCACCATACATTAATATTAACAGGTAACATGCATCATTATATATTTACCATACTACAATGGTGTGTATGATTATGAAAATAAATCACATTCCTGTAAGTTTGCATTTGCCGTACTTTATAAACATGACAGACGAGCAAACTCTTCTAAGATCTGCTGCCCTCTATTGTTATAAAACTTACAACAAAAAATACTAGACTCGAAGCTCAGTGTTTGTAAGAATCTGTTTATACTCTTTGAAATTATTCTTGTAAAAAAATAATATTAGGCCTATTTGTGATCCAGGGGTACTGTATATGGTCGTACAGGTAGTTTGTGTATTGTTCTTTTGTTAATAAAAAAAGTCTGAGATTTGATCTGAGATTTCATAAGCAATTCGAATTACAGTTTCTTCTCATGATTCATATGTAAATTAGCTTTAGCAAGTTCCCAACCAAGGACCGCCTACTCAACTCTCGTCGTGTCTGCGAGCTAGTGGATTTGACCACCGCCGCTACGGGTCGTTGTTTCACTGTGAGCAGTGTTATGAAAGGTTGTACAGGAACCGAAGCAAAGAAGGCTACCGTACCGCGCTCACCTCTGTGAAATGTGTGGCTTTTTCCATTTATCTTTTGTTGTTAAGAAAGCTTTCGTAGGAGGATCGTCTGGTTTATTCGTTGTTTATTAGGGAGGAACCACGTTTCATTCAGCGCTTGGAAACACTTGATACACAATTCTATTGCGACCATTGAGCCACACGTTCGCTGACTCTGCTGGGCAGTGGTAGTGAATTTTGTTGGGGACCATCCCGCCCGTTGGCGATATTCAATTTAGATCGAGACTAAGTGCAAAAACAGTATTTCATAGGTGAAAGTTTGATATTAATCTGCTGATTTGACTGCTACAAACTCAACATGGATTGGAAAAATAGTTGTAATCCCTACTTTATTTCAATTTGGATCTTTGCGATTATTGTCAAGACATCATCTTTGGCTAGAACGCTGAGTGCTGTTGAATGGTCCATGACGAACACAGAGTAAGTAGGCTAGGCGATTGAACAGAAATGAAATAAATTATCGCCAAGCTAAAATGAACTATTAATAAATGGCATGTCTTATGTGTTTTTAAATTAATGTATTACAAGAACCATGTTATCTGTAATCTGTTTAACTAATATAGGGGCTTGATAACTACTATCATCATTTTGACATCAATAACAAACATTGACCTTTGCATTGACAATACAACATCGCTCTGTCCAATTTGAAAGCAGATTATTTTTAAATTCATCTGATTAATTATGATATGTCCTAATGATTTGGAATATACTTTTACTGTTGTTAAAATAACATTTTACCAGGTGCAGTACGCAATCTTGTGTTTTAACGTAACCTACATCCTGCTTTTTGTGTTTACCTGCTGTTTTTTGTGCCACATTTTCCTTCTTAATTGCCCATCTATTACTTATCGTTGGTTTGTGGTGGGAAGAACCCAAGGAGGTTGAATGGTAACGTTACAAACATAGGTCTATCCTGACATAGGTTTTGACTTTCTTCTCTGCTTTGTCTTCTTAATGCCCAGGTGTTACATGTTGCCTTTCATAGAGTTTACTGAACTCAGCTTAGTAATATTAGTATTCCTAGAGCTGTATCTTATTCTGTTACTAATTTTAGATGGACTGTACTTTAAAAAGTAACTTAAGAGCTTAACTTCCCATATATGTCCAAATTATTAAAATATAAGTTACATAGTTATTAAAAATTTACAGATATCATTCCTTGTTTATTTTTGCTGATATTTAAAAAAATATTTTCTATATAATTTTATTTTTTTATTATCTAGCTAGTTGTGTTGTTATTTATTATGGCTTAGGTTTTCTCCACAAAAAAAATAAATTGTTTAAATTGCCCAATCCTATCCACCTGATTTGAATAATCTGCAATGATTTATGTAAATATACTTAAACATGTAGCATGTTGAACTAATGCCTCTTTAATTAGTGTGTATTGTTCGACAGGATAAGCTCTTAACAGTTTTGACACCTCCCGGAACTACTACTTTACTGCTGCAGATTTTATCTCCAACTAGCAATTTAGAATTTTTGACAATCTGCATTGTGATTTATGATTTAATACCATTTAAAACCTGAACTTTTAAAATGTTATTTGATAAATAATATATAAAAAAAATGTTCAGTCTACTGTACAAGTGATAATGTATAATTAAATTCTGTTTACCAAAATGTATTGAATTCAGTGTTCTTTTTTCAAATATCTGGTTCATACTGCAGACATCTAATTCCTCCATGCTGCAGATTAGGATTGGTATTTAAACCAGTAGATTAGATTTCCTGTCAACCTTTGTTTTTTAATTACTTTTTAAAGACCCTTAATGAAAGTACAATTGATGATCTTAACCAGCATTCAATGATCTGTAGGGTATGGAATGTGGCCTCTGATTCTCAATGTATAACAAGAACTTTTAGTTAGTATTCATTAATTCTAAGGACAAGATAAATGGGGAGTATAGAGAAGGCCGATATTTGCTGTAGGCACTGTCAGCTCAATCATGGCCAGTTGACTTGAACTTCCAAGGTTGAAATTTGTCAATTACCTCCTTTACTCTTTTATTTTTAACAGAAGAGAAAAGTTTATTAATAGGAATTTTGATAGGTGTTGTACCACGTTAATTTGTCTTTGGCTTAACTACTTTAACTATAAATTTAATCAACATAAGATAATTGATGGAAAAAAATAGAATGGTAATGATTAAGGGCAAATAGAAAAAATTATTAGACTATCACTCCCGTCCGCGTCAAAAATTCTGGAAATATTGATGTGGAATTTAAAAAAAACATTTTTTTTTGCCGTATCAATTATTTCAACAGCATAAAAATAAGATGCAATTTTGTGACTTCAAATACATTTTCTTTAAAAATGTATAAAATTAAACAAGTTTTTATACAATATTTACTATTACAGACCAAATATAAACAGTTAAAAAAAAAAACCGCCCTCCATCATCAATTTCAAAAAAAAAAGTGTGATAATCTAATAATCTTTTCTATGTACCCTAAAAGTATAAAATAATTATTAATAATAGTAAAGGCAATATTAATATGTTATGTAAAAAGAAAAAAATAATAATATTCGTAAAATTATATTCCTGAAGATTATTGAGTCATTGTTTGGAATTTTTTGAATTCTTTGCAAAATACAACAAACTGAATTACCATAAAATAGCTTTTGTGACAATATGTTGTTTATGACCGAAGGTCATTTTATCATAACATTATGTACAGAATAAGACTAAAATGTCAGCAGTGTTCGCTCTATTTATTGAGGTAGTTAACACAGTTTGTGTATAGTTGACTAGTACAGTATTAGGAATTATCAAGTCAAGATTTATAACTTTGTGCTGAAACAAACCCCACTAACCCTTTGGGCTGTACATGAGAAAAATTCAAATGGCCAATTAAAGACAACTATTTGTGTTTGTGATAGGTATTGTGTTTGTTTCACAGAATTAATGCCTTCACAAACATAAAGCAAACAATACAATTTTTGAAATAACAGTAGTAGATATACTAATTTGATTAGGCTACTTTTCTAAATGATAGATGTTTTATTACAGTACATGCACTCAAATGCTGTGTTTTGATTAATGAATTTTATGTAGTGACGATGTGCACTGCGTGTTCTAAGAGCAAGTTTATTGCATTTGTTGATGTCACGATCGACTTAAAAAGATCAGCTGGATTAATGAGTAGTTCATGTGGATTTTATGTACCTGATGTATTGCAACATTCCTTAACATGACAGCATAGCAGATTTCATACTTTCTCTTGAGAGATGACAGCCATGTTCAAACATCCTTGAGGGGAAAGGGGAATGGAAATAAAGCTTGTTAAATTGAAAATTACTAAAATATACTACAGTATATTATTATAAATAATTATAGATACTTAAGTCATTATCTTATAAACTATAGTGAATTTCTGATGTGTGATATTTAAAATAACAAATAATGCTAATATAAAAGTTCTAATATTTGCAAACTTGATACCAAATTGAATAAAATTTACCCATAAATGTCCCATCCAAATATACAGTAGGCATTAATATGGATACATTTTCCTCAATATTATCACCATGGTCAGTCTTTGTTTTCAGAATATTTGCCACACAGGTTTAAGGGCTGCAATGCAGGGCTCAGGTTTATTTGTTCTAGGTTCTCCTTTATTGACAGAGCTCTTGAATGACCAGCAATCATTATAAGGATAAGAATTGGTAAATATTACTACATAGGACATCCTTCTCTTGAAGCAAGGATGATGATACAAGCATTTCACACTTGTTATTGAGATATTTAAAAACATGATACATAGTATATTCAAAGTGGCCATGTCAGAACCAGATGTATTTTAGTTGACTATGAATTAATCTATCCTTTAAAAGACCATTGGAATACATCTTGTGTAAGCATACTGCAGTAATAAGAACTAGCATGTAGCTTACTGTAAAACAATAAAATGTTATGAGGTAGAGTACAATTGCTATGGGAATTACAGTAACCCATTCAGTGTTTCTTGGTTACAATAATACAATTTACAGGAATTTCTACCAAGTGTGTTATTACAAATTAACTGGTGTCCCTTGTTATGTCCAAGTGTTCATGATTGACCAAATATATAAATTTCAAATAGACTTAGTTAATAATATTAGCTTTAGTATTCAATGGCATTCCATTGCTATGCAGTGCAGTGTCTGAAAAGAGATCATTAAACAAGTTTTATGACACTAAGTCACATCACAGCAAGCTAATTTGGAAGAAATTGATGCAATAAAAAGAACATTATTCTAAATTTAATTAAAAGGAATTAAAATGTGGTTTGCATATGGTGATTATATATGACCCATACCATATAAGTCACACGCACACAACTATTTTAATTGACTTTGTCATTATGAAACACATAAAAGCTTGTGTCCTACAAAATTGTCTTGCATTTAGAATTCATCATTTTTCTACAAGCATAAAATGAACAGTCAGTGATCTTTATAATGACCTCCCTATAGAGTAAAAAGACCACTTCTCAAAACTCATTTGCAATACAAATTTTGTACTTAATATTTTATTATTCTTCTTAATACTACTTCTAAATTGCTATCTTTAATGT